GATCCCCCACTTCCATCTATGTTCAGCTGGTTCCTCCTTGTTCTCGTTGCATACCATTACCGCATTCTTCTTAGCGTTGGCAGACAATCTCCACCTATCAGTACACTTCTTCGCCGCGTCGATTTGCGGTTGCAGTTCCGCAGGGGTGTCCGACACACCGACAAAATCATCCGCAAACAGCATTCCTGAAACCGACGTTTCCGTGTCCCCTACTTTTACTCCCTTCCGGACTGCCTCTACGACTTCCAACAGATCGTTGATGAACACCTGGAACAATGTTGGGGACAGCGTGCAACCTTGTGGGACCCCCTGCCGAGGGGGGGCTTGTTGTACGACGTCGTTGCCAATCGACGAAAATCCACCCCCGATGGCAAACACCGGGGGGGGGGATTGGTACTTTCACTTCTAGTGACAATTGTAAGCACTGTGTAACTGCCTCGAGGGTGCTTGACCAATTTAACACAAGTGCGAATAAATCCTCGTTGCGCGGAGTGACGGTTCTCGACCCCGCACAACATCTACTCGACCACCATTGTGGTTACCGCAAAAAAAATTGCGGTAACCTGGTTGTTGAGCTCACGAAGTGATCGGCTTGTTTNGGGGGGGGGGGGGGGGGGGGGGGGGGGGGGGGGGAGGGGTTAGCGACATGACGGAAATAAATACTCCGTGGGGTGGAGAGTGTTAAGGAGGAGGACTCGATTCGCAGGGTATCCGTCGATTGACGCTTACCAGAATTGGTATGTACAACTTCGCGTAGGCGAGAAAAACTTCGCGTAGGAGGCTGTGTGCTACCGGAAGCAGAGGGTTCTGCAACACCCCCCGGATATATCGCTTGGTGCTTTTTTATTACACATCTCGTGTGTGGTGATACTGGGCTAATATACCGTTAGCGCTCGCCTTCAAAACACTTTCATCTAATTTCAGGTCGAGGCTCAATTTCTTATGTCGTTACCACGGTCGAATAGGTCGCTATGTAGTAAGAGTTTGGTGTAGGATCCACGGCTGAGGTGTGTGTAACATTCCATTTTTTGTTTCTCGCCAAAATTTGAGCCTCTGCTTGCCTTTTTTTAATCGCGGGCGAAATAACTGTCGTTTCGCAAAGTTCATCTACTACATGTTTTTTCGACGTAGTTAATCGCCGTGGGCACTTATCAACAGGGCTTCAACGCTTACAAAATTATTTTGTGGGCGGGCGGCTACTTCTTTTGTCGCAGGATCACCTAACAACATCTTTGTCCCGATCTAGAACATCGGACCATCCTGTGCTACCTCTGTTGCTTCTTATGTGGTCGCCCACTGCTATTCTCCGGGTCGCCCCCATGGTATCAAAAAGCGCAATCATTCTCGTATCCTCTGGACGTTTAACGTCAGCCAGAAGCTCGAATCCCTGCCGTAGCATTGTTCAAGAGGCGCATACTCGTGAGCATACCAAGTTCGACAAATAAACATGTCGACAAGGCAAAGGATCGCTAGACCTCTCTCTCACGTTGAAGTTGGTGGCAAGTATCGCAATACCGGCTGGGTATTAGGTTTCAAACGTCCGTTCGTTTGACTCCACAGTCAGCCAACGCCCTGAACACGATTTCCCTATTCATTCTTGTCATCACGTGAGCCTTACTTCCCAACCGCGGTTTGTGTTTGTGTCAAGATTAATGGATGGGGCGCTTCCATCTGTTTTCTAAGTGCAATGACCCTGCGAAACTATGAAAGTCCCATCGCGCGAATCCAGAGCGCTGTGCAGTACGTTCTTCCACCGTACATGCAGTCGAATGGAATGCACCGTACGAAAAAATATCACTTTGTCAACTCGAAACAAACGCGGCTATCGACAAGGCAACCTTAGGATCGACGCACCAGCCTGCCTGTGGTCGAAGTGAACAATCCCTCGTCACGCACAACGTCATAAATATTGCGGTTGTATTTTTTCTTCCTTGTGCATTCGCCTGTGACCCGTGTAGAAACTGTCTGCCTACTGCTGAGTGTACGGCCTGTCTTCGCCGTTGTCAGTTCAGTTTGTGTCTACAACTGTCATCCGTTCGTTTACTGTACCGATCTCCTCGGTGTGGTACTTGAAAGGAGCACTCCTTGCACAAACACAACACTCTACTTCGAGGGTATTTCATCCTAGAGTGTGCCCCTGCTCCAGAGGCTTGGCAACGGTACAATACACGACTTCTGGTGCTTTTTTGCCACACCTAGCCACCACGCCGAGCCACCACAGAGGGTTCCTGTACAATGTTCCCTAAGGCACCACCACGTAGTATACAACTCAGGGGAAAATACCAGGTGAAACCTATTTACTCTTGTTCTTGCTACCCTCGCCATCTTTCTTCCTGCGGGGCTCGTCCTTATTATTATCCTCCTTCTTGTCCTCCTTCTTGTCCTCCTTCGGGCGGCGATCTCTCTCTGTGCCTTCAGTATCCTTCTCCCTCTTCGTGCTTCCGTCTTTTTTGCTGCTTTTTTGCTTTCCGCTATCCCCGCTCTTGTCGTCCAATCTGTCGGCACTCCCTGAGGAATCGGCCATTTCATCCTCCGGTGCTTCTTCTTCTCCTTCCAGATGTAGGCGACTCGGTGCTTGGATGTGGACGTTCAGCTTTCCGCTAATGCTCACATCAGGGTCCATACTAAGGCTATAACACGTGATATTTCCGATCACAATAGCGGAGCGGCGAAGGCGTACCCTTTCTGCCTGAATATTGCCGACCACCGTGCCATCCGATACGACCTGGTGAGCAAAAAACAAAGCAACATCAAAGCACAGTTACCCTCGCCACTTCAATCTTCAGCATGCAGTGTCACGCGTAACGTAGATCTACGGGCACGGAGTAGAGTACCTCTCTGAGGTGCTCGATGTTGCCCCGAACAATCCCTGTTGCTCCTATCACGAGATCTCCTGTCGATACCAACTGCCCCTTGAAGGATCCGTCCACCCGAAGAAGCCGGTCAAAAGATAGCTCGCCCTGAAAAGTATTGTACAAGTTGTGGGTGGCCAATACTTGCATCGGCGTGGAGGTTGCTGAAAGGCGATACCAATGCAAAACAACGGTTGCATCATCGTTTACTCACAGGGCTGTTTTCACATCGTCGTAGTGATATAAGGGGCATCTTATGACGCTCAAGAAAATGTATGTATGCCTGTATATGGTGTGTGCGAGCAACCGCCACGTGGCTTCTACCTCATACCTGGTGTGCGTGCAAACATAGACAAACTACAGTAGTGGCTGGATAAGTAGGTGCTTGAGAGAGCTACTAGGTCTCCAGTGCATGCCCACTGAGGAAAGCCGGGCAACGTGCGAACTCATGGAAAGCTGAATGGTAGACGAGTGAGTTGTGGGAAACACCATGCCACGGGAGGGGGTTGAGGATACACAGTGGGCGCCCGCAACTAAGAAAATCTGTGTCTCATGAAGATGAGCTCATCTCTAACTCGAAAATCAGACGAAAATAGTGACGAACACAAACTTCGCGGTAGATCCTACACTGAAATCTATATAATAACCTGGGCTCGACATTGGCGGCGAAATAAGAAATGGGGTCTCGACCCGAATTTGTGTTTCATATCACCGGGTGCCAACTGTACAATGTCCACCCCAGACCGAACGCAAATATGCGGATTCTCACCTTCACGTGGACATTTTCCCCAACAGTTGTCTCCGGCGTCTCCGCCTGCGCAAGAGTGACGGACAAGTACCACAAGAAGAAAAATCGGATGTTCAGAGTCCTTATATGTGTATGTACCAAGTCGACTTTTATTCGTTTTTTTTCTTTCTCTCTGCAGGGACAGCGTTTTTCTCATACTTTCTTCTGCATGGTACTCAGAGGACTCATCGGTACATTACCCGTTGCGTGTGGGGCTCGCTAGACATCGGCGGTGCGCGTGATGGCTGCTCAAAAGTCGCTGGCATTGGCTCTATTCCAGGGGTCGCGATTCCGAACAAAAATGCCCCTGTGAAAACCGCAACCAAATATATATGTAGGCGGGCTGTTGTTCTCTTCGCGCACACATCACGGCCACAACACCAGCAGTTAGTAGTAGACATCCACACAGGAACACGGTCCAAGCAAAAGGAAGAGCAGGGGGTGGTGGTAGAGCCGCAGTATTGTAAAACGCGCAGCGCGGCTGTCCCACACAGGGACACAGGTGATGTGTACTGTGTACTGCTGCTGTGGTGCATTACAACAGTGCAACAACGGTAATGAAAAATTCACAATAGTAGTTTGCTCCGGTAGGCCGCATTTTTTCGCAGTTCACACAATCACGTTTCAACCTTTGTAGAAGCCCACACACCAAGGCGGTGCACACTCAACACGGTACAAACACAAGGTTCAGCAGTAGAGCATTCGCACTACATACATAGCTAAACGCGGCTATCGCAGGCCACACAGAGGATGTGCATACAGCTGTCCTAAAAAATGCACTACAGTTATTGGCGCGGTATTTGTCGACGCGGTTTCGAACCTCGGCAACGACATATGTAGTGTAAAACGCTGCGTCTTTCTCCCTCACGTTTATATTTTACTTCTATGTCGGTCGGTTGTATGCTACTTTTTTTGCATCTACATTTTCCCGAATATTTCCGTAAGAACGTTCTAAGAGAGATAGAATATGCATTGCCCCGATCGTAGCAGGTTGGATTACTTTAGTCCATGCCTCAAAAGAAAAAGATGGCACAGCAGTTCAATTTTTTTTATTTAGGTCTTTTCGTCTTGCGTCAATCCCGGGAGGCATGCTCCGACCTCCCGGAACGGGGAACCTTGTATGTACATACTGGCGAAATCATTTGTCCGACGGCTAGTTGCACGTCGAATTTGTCGGCGTTGCAGAAGCCTCCTGTAGAGACGTATGCAGCAGCAAGTCCATCATACACCCCCATGCAGCAATGGCACTAAAATAAGGGTCTTTCACGATACAAAGAACAGCTCCACAAAGGAGTGGATCTGTCCACTCTGCAGAGGCGCTGAAACTCACTCGTGGGTGGTAACGCCAAAGAGTACCGTAAGGTTGCGAGTCACCGCACAGTCCGGAGTCGTCGCACGGTCCGGAGTCATCGCACAGGGGTGCGATGCAAATAAAATGGCTCAATGATTTAATTCAACTTCCGCACAGGGTTTGGAGTCACCGCACACGGGTGCGATGACTCGCAACCTACAGCAGTAGGGGAGTTGAGTGCCAGCGATTTCGGGGCAACCTTCACCCCTGCAGGCATGTTAGCTCTGCTGTATGGGTAGGTTATCGTCGCACACCGCACGTGAAGGTATGAAGCAAATGAAACTACCGCGTCCGCAGAGGAAGGGTCGCCACCACTAGCCCCAGAGATCGCGGTACTCCGCGTACCTGAAACCTCCGACATGATTGCCAAGCGATTATGTGTGGCGTGTAGCCACAACTCGACGGCGGGAAATGTATATATATTTTTCTTAATATTACACAACGAATCCATCTCCATCAATAGACAAAAACTTAGCAATGGATCCATGGCGTCAGCGGAGCTACTTTCATTTGTTTTCCGCCCACGGGGATTCGTATTTCGACCCATTTTGTATTGTGTGTGTGCTTTCTCGAAAATCTATCATCCACCGGGCTACCTGTTGTGATTGACGGATGTGCACGTGTGTGTGTACGTTGCACATCTGAGGTGTCCTTGCGTCTGGAAAGTTGTTTCGAGTACCGCACATACCGGAGATATCGCTCAGGGGTGTGCGTTATATATCAAAACCAAACAATTTAATTCGGTTTCCACACAGGGTTCGGAGTCATCGCACAGGGGTGTGATGCAAATTAAATGGCGAAAATGTTCAAGAAACGAACGCACGGGGGTGCGCTGACTCGCAACCTTACGGTACCGTACTCTTCATCGTGAGGGTGGGAATATGATGGTGCTGAGTGTCTTCTCTTGGCAGAGGAACAGGTTTATTGTGGGACACTTTTTTCGGTTGACCTGCCCACAAGCACAGCGCTAATTAAAGTGGTGTTGCTTGTATGACCTGAATTGTTGCTTGCAGAAGTATCCGTGTGCGGAATAGACCATGTGGGACAGAACAATGACTGAACGTCAGCGTTAAATGTGTGTCAACGTCTGTCTCAACAAGCCATTCTAATATCACAGTGATCCGTAAACAGAGTTGAGCAAACAAGGTGAAACATACCCTGTGTGTTGCCTTGCACCAACCTATGAGACACGTTTAATGGTAGCGATACGTGCAGACATCAATCTCCTGGTTTTGCGACACCGTGGTTGCCCAATCCATCCCCTCTCGTGGTTTAGTGGCCCGATGTTCGTTGACCAAGTCCAAGGCATCATCGTGGCCGCCTTGATGATACACGTCGTACCAATGCCTCACGTTTCCTCGCGCAACCCAGCATACCGTTTGCCCAGAATGAACGATATAAACGACCATTACTCTGCCCTCCTCCGAGCTGACAATATACACGGCCAGAAAAGCCTTCTATTTTCAGCCTGACTAGTGTGAACCTCGAGTGTTGAGAATGTTCTCCACAAGAAGTACGTACACGCCCTTATTCGAACAGACTGACCCTATTCGATTTACTTGCGGTGCTTTCGTCTCCATCATCTAAGCTGGTAGTTATTTGTGGATGTCAGCCGTGGGATCTATGGCGAGGCTTGCGATTTTTTGCTGTAGAAGGATGCGTACATATCGCAAACAACCACGATTTGGGCTAAAAGGTTGCGATCATTATGTTTCATCCTGAGACTCCTCCAGCCACCTCGCCCGAAACTAATGTCAACACAGCATTGTCTAACGATGATGGCAAAGCCAAACGTGGGTGTTGCAATTCAGGATAAATCGTTTGGAAAAGTGCGACAGCAAGTGTGATGTTTGGTAGGGTCAGAGGTTGACGGTAATGTATACAAGTAGAGAAATGCCGAAATGTCCAAATCTATCTGTGTCTTTCTCGTGTTGATCCCAATCAAGTTCTTGTCTTGTGTCTCCATTATACAAGTTCATGCGAGATGTTCTAAGAGAAGGAGCACAATCAACCAAGGGATCGCAGCAAACAACCTGCGTACATCGGTGTTCGGATGTGTTCTAAACAACGCTGGATATACATAACGGAAAAAGATACTAACACCGTTGTCGTGCGTAATTGGACTTCGACTTGATTTTGCATGTCGATCGAACTCACCAAAATGTTACGAGGTGCGGGCGTGGCGTACGTTGCAGGTTCCTCTATTCTGCCTGGGTTCCTGTCTAGTTCACGCTCTCCAAGCCTTCGAGGCACCTGTTCGCACAAGAAACATAAGCGGCAAGAGTGAATCTACATGAAGCAGAGTATGTTACATCAATTGGTGCTGTTGTTGCTACAGACGTTGCCGGTGTTCGAATAATATAGTCGTATGTACCGCAGAAGAAAACTCATGGGTTATCTGGTCGAAACAGCGCGCTAAGGAATAACAAATGCTACGCGTGCCATTGGTTACCTACATTAGGAGGGGGTCAACAGACGGATATGTGGTCTCTGTCTCCCGTTCTGTTATAAACTCACGTGATACCCGGCTCCTGCAGATGGCTGGCAGTAGCACATTACACCGACAAAGAAAGAAAGGTCCAGAATGTGGGAGGGTTTGCGGGTGGGAAGGTGGACGTGAGTAATGCTGTGATACAACGAAGCCACAAGGAAAGTGCACCACGACAAACAAGCCGAAACGAGGCTTGTCTTGGGTGGGCAGTCGCACGGTGATGTTTCGGATTGAACTGCTGTACACGTTATTACCTCCGAGCGTTCGTCGTGGTAGGCTGGCGCTATTCGTTTCCCTCGAGGAGGCGGCGGCGGCCCTCCGGAGTGAAGCTCCATGCAGCAGCCCCCGACACCAAACTTACACGGTGAATAGAGAGAGGACAGGCAGAGATAGTAGAAGAGAGGCGTGTGGTGTTGGGTGGAATGTGCGCCCGCGCGCCCGCACTGCTCTGAATGCGGTGAGATAGATGCCGGTTCACCTTATGTGTTCCGGAACCTCTCCCCCGCGTTGAGAGATGAGAGATGAATACAGGGAGCCGGCTAGCACGTCGAGTGGGAAGGCGCTCTATCTACCAATCTATCTACCAATCTATGTCCGACACGTCGCATGCGATGTTTGACTCTATAGGGCCCGACGCTATTATTGTACTCATATGCGTACGCATAGATAACCTCGTTCTCATAGAGGAGACTCTAACTTTTAAACATTATAGTTAGTTTACTACTAGGAAAAATATACACGCACAAAAGACTACCCATGGCGGGTTCCGCGGTAAAGCCGAATCGCTCAGTGCTCGGCGGAAAAACAATGTGATAAAAACAATTTCAAGGATCGCGATAGAATGCCCTCAAACAAGGTTTGAAAAAAAAGGCAAAACCAAAAAAAAATCCACCTTCCTTTGCTTGGCCGAGATTTCTTTTTTGGACGCAGTCATTGCCGAACCTTTTCATTTATTTCGCCTTCTTCATCGGCAACCGATTCCGTTCTCAGTCGACTTAGGGGGGGTAGAGCCAATCAGAAAGTTGGTTCGACCAAAAGTGGTCGCGCTAGCTGGTGATGAAAAATCTCAGGGTTTCTGAGAACGCTCATTTTGGGCTGTAGGTCGATTATTATAAAGAAAGAAAAGCCAAAACCGGCGATATTGATATATATATTATTTAGACTATATTTTGATTATCTTAACATTGAGTATGATGGATTCGTGACCCCCACCCCAAAATTACTCTGATATGAAGCTTACAGAAGTTCGATCGACCCACGGAACATCTTCCGGGGGAGGAGATGTTTTTCCGGCCATCCCCGCTTTCTTGCGAATCTTGGACAGCTGTATCACGACGGCATTGATCAATAGTCAGTGCGAAAATTCTGACAACGGATTAATTTATTTTATTTTTATTTTATTTTTGCCTTCCGACAATTGCAGATGTACCTCAGAAAACTTTCACTTGATGTCTCATACTCTACATGAATATTAAACCAATACGAAGTACAACAACATATGTAGGACTTATTTCTACTGTCATTTACATCGTAAAAGTATCTCCTCTTCAACTTACCAATGACAATCCTGATGGTATCCTATATGCGTTCGTAAGCTTGCTAAAATACTACTGCGTTGATGTCCGCTTGTAAAAGCTGAAATCCAACAAATGCTTTGATCCATGCTACATCTCCGTGTTGGAAAAGCCCTTTCATCTCCGTTCATGATAACATCTTACCCTATTCTACGCAAATCTGTCACATCTACTCTCAAACAAGACGTCAACTTCAAACGAAAACGCGTTCTACGATGCGTCT